CCCCCCCATCATGCCCCAGCGCCCCCCTTATGTTGCACGGGGGCTTGTGCTCGCGCACGAACGTGGCGATAGCGTAGCCGCGCCGAAAACGATAATCATTATGTCCTACACCACTCTGGCAATACGCTGAGATGATCTGTATACTCTGGCCGTGGGGCCTCAGCAGGCACGCTGTCCAGCCTTGGCCTCCATAGAGTGGGGCCCCTCTGCCTTTGCTGCCGAGCACCCTGGCGCGGCTGTTGAGCTGGCGCTGCGCGAACACACCTACTCCCCCATGCGTCCTCTTCCGAGATGTCTGGGCCGCTGGACAAAGACAAGGGCGACAACCTACTTTCGCATGAACTTCTGGGCGGCCAGGCCAGTACGTTGAGCAAACAGGCAGCGCGCTAACACGGGCGCTTTGAACGCGGCTCGTGTTGCGCTTCAACACGGGCGTATCAGGACAGCTCCGACCTGCGGCGGCAGGGGGCGCCTGCGGGGTCGGCCTCCTCCTCCTCCCCCACCCCCCCCCTCGGCTCGCTCGCTCGCTCGCCACCTAAGGGCCTGAGAGGTTCGGAGCCCATACTTAGAAGAACGGGAGTGAAGGCGAATACAGTGCCAACAACATGCACGCGCAGAGGAAGGGGAGGGGGTGACAAGAGGGACTCAAGAGCCACCGTCCACAGGCCTGGCAAGGGTGGCCTGCGCAAGAAGCGCCGCGGCGAGTCCGACCGCCGACGCAGGGAACTGGCCCACGTCTCTGGGGGGGGGGGGGCGGGCACAAAAGCGTCCAAGGACGCAAGGCCCTTAGCCACCACCAGGCTAGGATGCAAGTGCTGGGCCCCAAACGAACACATATCCACGACAACCGAGGTCACTCCATCACGCAGCAGGAGTTCTTTCATCTCAGTCACGTCGCTACAACTTAGCGGCAGCAGCATAATGAAGGGAAGCCCGTACTGCGCACGCAGCAAGCAAAAAAGGAGTGCGGCCTGAAGCGCCTCGTTGTCCTGTCCCGCCTCCTTCCCTTCCCTTTCATTCATCCGATCGGATCCCCAGGGCCTTGCCTGGGTACGCACGCGATGGCGAGAGGTGCGCCATGTCGGCAGGTGAGGCGCCACCAGCAGTCCAGCGATCTCCCCCGCCGCCAGCCTGCCCGCCCATTGTTCAACTTCGTGCTCGGAGGGCCAGGGAGAGACGAGGGGGGGGGGAACAGAGACAATCCCCCTGGCAAGGATTCTCGAAAGCCAGAGCGATGCGCCCTTCATCATCCAACATCCAAATCAAGCCCACGAGGTGGGGCGGTGGGTCCAGGGTTCACTCAGACGACCTGTTGGGACAGCGTGCTGTCGTCTTGCTCAATGGGGGCTCTGGGAATGTCGATCCACTCAGGCGGAGGCTCCACCACACGCAAACGAAAGGGAGGTCCGACAACTCTCTGAGCAGGGATGAATGAGGGCGCGCGTGTCAGATTTCCCCCCCTTCCGGTTCGCACGCGCCTCAATCTTACGCAGTTCAATGGCCCCCTCACGCTCAGCCTCACTAGTACGAAGAGGAGAGTTCACCCAGGCACGGAAACAAGCAGCAGATCTGTGAAGGTGCTTGGTCTAGCGCGCTCCCTGCCAGAACTCCCAACAGCACACAGGGCACATCGATCCCGTGGCCACGTTCTCTGGAGCATCAGCGGTCTAATGCTGCTTGGAGCGATGAATGCGACAAAGCCTCAGCGTCTTGGCTAAACGACCGCACTCGTAGAAAAGGAAACCTTGATCTCCAACAATGTCAGGCGGTGGCGGCGGAGCCTCGCTAAGCGGTGGCTGGCTACCCCCAATGTGGGGTGGGGGCTCACTGGATCTGGAGGGTATCTCACCCTCGTCCAAAGCATCTGACACACATGCGAGCCATCGATGGCAAGCTGGGTCAAATCACGACATTTGCTCAAATCTGTGTTGTCATCCTGCGTGCGCTGGAAGATAGCCCGCAACCTGGGGCACACCAGCTGTCTGTGCATCTCCTGTCGCCATTGTCGCACTTGTAGCGTGGTGGCCCAGAACCTTTTCGCGCTGGTAGCAGCCTGCTTCACTATGGCCAAGTAGTCGCGTCTGTGCGATCTCGCCGGCCGAATCCACGAATTATCATCATAACCATATTCACGAGCATCGACCTGAAGATATCGGCAAAGCCATCCAAAATCCTGTCGTACCAATTTTGCCCAACCTCGATCCCACGTGTAGTCAAGTAGCAGTCTTACAAGTGGTGGAGCGCCACAGAATATCCGCGGTAGCAGTCGCAGTCGAGCCACTGTCATGACCACATGTAGAGGCAATCTCTGCACCTTCACTAATATGTCGGCTGCCGATGCATGCGCCTCGCTGCAGTTTGTGGCCCCGAGGTTCAAGGGAGTCCTGTAGAGTGACATGTAGCCCGTCAGGGCCCTCTTCTGCAGGTAGCGGGGTAGCGGGTCCCACGTGCCAGCTGCGAACAGAAACTTCGACCCCGCATATGCCTCGCTGTAACTCACTTTGTGTGTCAAGTCCAGCTGCGCGCATGATGCCACCACTTTTTTCATCGGCCGCAAGGCCGATCTCGAACTTCGTATCCGCCCAGTTATCTCATCACTCATAGTGCCTCTGTCATTGAACCGCGCCCCCAGCACCTTGTGTACTCTCACAATGGGTACCTTGAAGTCGTGTAGGTCGCTGACGAGGTAGTTCTGCTCCTTGGTATAATACTGTCGGGCCTGAGTCCTCGCTCCAGCTCCACGAAAGCTCAACATGACCGCGGTCTTGTCGAAGTTCAGTCGAAATCCATGCTTGGTGCAGCGTATAAATATAATCTCAGTCAATATCATCGTTTTGAAAGCCAGCTCCGAGGCCGGCGCCGCCACAAGGGCAGTGAGGTCATCTACGGAGGAAGTGCTGGAGTGAGATTGGTCCTCCTCCTCCTCCTCCTCCTCCTCCTCCTCCTCCTCCTCACTCCTCCTCCTCCTCCTCACTCTCCTCCCCTCCTCCTCCCTCCTCCTCCTCCTCTCCTCCTCCTCCCCCTCCTCGCACTCGTCCTGGCTCTCGTCCTCACACTCGCCCCCCCCCCCTCGCTCTCGTCCTCGCACTCCTCTCCCTCCTCGCACCCACCCGGTCCTCCTTCAGGCGCAAGAGGTGGGACACCATCTCCGCCACCTCCGGGTCCCGGTTGACCTCCTGCGGGCTGAGCCCGGCCGCCGCCAGGGCCGTCTTGCGCTCCTTGACGACCGCGCTAAGGGCATCGACCTCCTTCGGGGGGGGGGCGGGCCACAGCCGCCGCGGCAGAGCGGTCAGGGCCCCCTCCCCAGCCGAGGGGGGGGGAGGGGGGGCGGAAGGGCAGAGGATGAGGATGAGGAGGAGGAGGACGAGGAGGAGGAGGAGGAGGGCGAGGAGGAAGCGAGAGGAGGAGAGGATGGAGGATGGAGGATAGAGGAGGGAGGAGAAGGGGAGGAGGAGAGAGGCACACAGGATGAGGGAGGAACAAGGAGGGAGGAACGCAGCGGGAACAGCGAGGAGGGATTGCCCCCCCCATCCTCGGGGAGGGAGGGGAGGGGAGGATGGACGAGGAAGGGGGGAGGCGCGGGAAGATCGCGAGGGAACCCGCCACGGAGGAGGACGAGGGAGGGGGGAGGCGCACGAGGAGGGAGGGGGGGGGAGAGGGGAGGAAGACGAGGACGAGGGAGGGGGAGGGAGGGGAGGCGCACGAGGACGAGGGAGGGGGGGAGGGGGGGGGGGAGGCGCACGAGGACGAGGGAGGGGCAAGCTCGCCGTGCGCAGGCGCCGCGAGGGGCCAGCTCTGCTGAACGCCCGCGCCAGGCCAGAGCCCCCCCCACCCCATTTTCGTCTTCCCCCCCCACTTCCCATATTTTCCCATATTTTCCTGGGAGTCGACCATTGATTGTGTCTGTGTTTTTTCCCCTCCTGACCCCTCCGCTCCAGGAGCGGAGGAGGCCGCGGCGGCACAGGGTACCCTCGGAGGCCGAGGTGGGGCAAGGGCACGCGGCACTCTCAACAGGAGGGGGGCAAGGGATCCGTCAACATCGAAAATCGGAAGATCGGATCCGAATTCAGCGTGCGTCGAAGCGTCCCGTGTCGGCACGGGGGGGTCATCCAATCGGATCGGCTGCACCAGCATGCACAGCAACGCCACGCAAGCATCGGGTCGCATCGGATCGGCCGGAAATCGAAAGCGAATCGGATCCGGCCAGCCGGAATCGACATCGATCGATCGGATCAAAACGCACCCCGAGGGTATCGTGCGAGATCCGAAAGACCCACGTCTCTTCTCGCACTGCTCTCCGGCTCTCCGATCCAACTCCCTCGACGGCCCTCTGTGCGGGCTGGGCCGCGGGGCCACGAGAATCCTGGGCGAGGGAGCGGTGGCCGCGCACTGGCAGATGCGCCGCCTTGCACATGAAGCGAGGGCCTCGACCTGGCAGCGGAGTGGGATCCGCTGGCCCCTGGCCCCTGGCCAGGCGTGCTCGCGGGCTCCGACATGCCGTGGCCAACGGCCGCGGACTGACCCAGGACGGCCGACACGGGACGGGTGGCCGTGCAGACCACCGAGGCGACGGCACAGCTCAGCGGGCACCGGGCAAGATCCCGGCTGGCTTCCAGCACACTCTTTGGCCCGTGGCCTGAACCTCCGGCTCCATGTGCCCGCTTCCGGAGACCCTGAACCCACCAACGTTTTCACCTCTCGGGGGCGCATTGTTTACCTTCGCCGCCTTCCGCCGCCGCCTTCCGCCGAGTTCCCGCCGGCTTCCGCCGGCGGAGGCGGCCTCGCTCTGCCTCCGCCGCCCTTCCGCCGCCCTTCCGCCGCCTTCCGCCAAGGAAGAGACGGCAACTCCTCCGATCCTCGAAGGCCAGGCCCCTTTCCTGGAATACCTCGTGCTGGCCGGTAACCCGAGTCCAGCAATGCCGACGTCGGCGGAGGCCGGCTTCCGCCGAGCTCCCGCCAGCGGGCCCGCCGCCGCCTCGCTTCCGCCTTGCTCCCGCCGAGGGCGAGGCGCGCCGAGGGCGAGGCCCGTCCCGGAGAGCCCCGTACACGCCTGGTCGGAGGAGGCCGGCAGAGGCACGAGGTGGGGAGGCGGACCAGGCAGCGGGGGCCCGGGCCCTCCCGGCGAGGAGGGCAGGACACAGCAAGAGAACATCGCTTCTTGGAGCAGGGTGGCACCCAGAAAGGTAGACTGGGACTCGGGCATCCAAAAAGACGTACAGAGGCCAGTCCACGAGAAACCTTCCACAAGAACCCAACCCTGAGACCCCAGGACGTTCATTGATTCTGGACGTGGGAACGTCGCGCTCTCCATCGCAGAACCGTCGAAACCCAAGAAGCCCAGGGCACCCTGGAGGCAAGCATGCTGTTTCTTGGCGTGGGTCTTCACTGTACTGTCAACGACCGACGGGAATCGTCCTCCCTCCTCTCCGACTCGGCGCCGCTACTTCCCGCGCCGCCACTTCCCTAATTAGAAGAATACCCGTGTTTTTGTCGGACGTTTGCGAGTGGGCACTTTGCGAGTAGTGAAACGCGCTCGGCGAGTTGAGGAGGACGTGGTGAAGCAGGCGGCCCCCACCTCGGGAGGGGCGCGCCGAGGCGGGCCTCAGCCCCCCCCCCCCCCCCCCGGGGAGCTGGGGTCCCACGCTCGGGCCCCGCCCACGCGCGCACCTCGGACATGAACAGGTTCGCCCCTCCCCTCTCCCCTCGGGCACGGACAGCTTCGCCTCTCCCCTCAGGCGCGTTGCGTCCAGCACCTTCGTGTTCGTCATCCTTCCTTCTCTCATTACCTCTTGGCTCTGCTCCCCCTCCCGCCGGCGCCGCCGGCGGGAGGGGTCGAGAGCGCTAGGAGCAGGAGCAGAACCGTCCGCAGCCACGAGCCGCGAGGAGGAGGAGGATAGAGGAGAAGGAGGAGGATGGGGGGCATGAGACAACAAACACAGGAGTGGGGGCAGAAGAAGGAGGAGGATGAAGGAGGACAAAGGAGGAGGAAGAGGAGGAGGAGGAGGATAGAGGAGGAGGATAAAGGTGGTGGTGGTGGTGGTGGTGGAAATCAGCTCATGGTCTGGACTGCATCTCATAATGATTGCATGCTGACCGCCGTGCGCCATACAGGAGGACGTCCAAGAGGAGGAGGAGGAGGAGGAGGAGGAGGAGGAACAGCAGGAGGAGGAGTAGGAGGAGGAGGAATTTTTTTTCCTCTGCAATCCCAGAGGGCAGGACCGATGCTAATCACTTAGCGGCCGCGACTGCGGTTTCGAGAAAACTCTCGAGGGGTTGCTGCTGCCTCCGCAGCAGCCTCCCGAGCCTGAATACGTGCCACGAGAGCGCGCACGCCAGGGGTCTGAGGCAGGGACTCCATCCCACGCAGAGGCTGGCGAACGTCAGGCGGTGGCGGCAGAGCTGCAGCATACTGCATGTAGGCCGCTCCGCGGCGACTGGACACGCTGAGCCGAGACCCCTCCTCCCTATAATGAGGGTGCTGGCCTTCAAAGATACGACGGAGGGTCGCGGGGGCCCCTGCCAGCTTGCGCAGTGGACAGTCGCGGCCGAGAAGGTAACACCTCTTGGCCGTGTAGGCCCCGCACGTCGTACAGAAAAACATAGTGGCCTCGACATCGTTCTTGGTAACACGCGTATGAGCAAGAGTGTGGCCTTTGCTGAAATCAAGGACCCCCCTCCAGGTCTTGCTGGGCCCAGGGCAGCCGATCATTGGTCTGGTGGACGGGTCTTTCCAAAATGACAGGCATCTCAAACAACGAGCTCGTCCTTGCTCAAGGGGTTCCCACGCGTGCCAGCCCCCTGATGTGAGGAAGCGTGCGCGGGGCCCCGCAGGGGAGCGTTCAAACCGTTCAACCTCGAAAACACACAAAACTTTGGCCAGCACTCTGGCCGCGAATTTCAACCTGACTAAATTCGACTCGATAATGTCCGAATTCATGTTCGAGGGGCGGGGGTGGAGAGAGAGGGCATGTTTGGCGAGCGAGTCAGCGAGACTGTTGCCAACGGCTATCCTCTTGTCCACGGGCGAGAGCGACTCGATAACCTCTTGCGATCGATGCGCTGGTGTGTGCTGCACGACGATCTCATGATCACGTTTTTCATCTAGCACTGCCCCTCGTCGCATGCCTGCATAACGGTGCTTGGCCGACGTCTGGTGCGTCGGGCTGGTGAGGCAGAGCTTGACCACAGTCATGCAGTCACTGATGCGAGTACCCGAGCACTCTACATAGATGGGCAGGCAGGCCATGGCTTGGTGCTCGGCCGCCTGCGGCGTCTGGGGAAGAACGTCCCACACTGTTCCTTTAGCGTAGGCCAAAATGGATTCACCTGGGCCCAAAAACACCCACGCATAAGAGGCGCGGCTAAGTTCGCGCACCGGGTGACGGAGACAGGATCCGTCCATACACACTTCGCACCCTCGCAAGTCGATAGATCCCCACTCAATTTCGGCCCCGTCGGCCGAGTAGAGGGCGGGGGCAGGATGGTTGGACGGAGGAGGGTGGAGGGTTTCGGGATGTTCGGGTTCAAGCTCGTCCCATAAAAACCGATCTTCGCTTTCCAGGGCCTCCTGAAAAAGTTCAAGCTGTTCTCCCACAGCTTCGGCTCGGGCAGCCCGTGCAGTCTCGTGCTGACACAGCCAGCCGCGGTGTCTGATGCTGTCGACCTCATCGCACAAAGGGCATCTACCGTCGCTCTGGTATCCTGCAGCGCGGGCTCGCGCGCGGGTCCAGACTCCACTACAAAAAACTGAGCTGGCGAGGTATTTTTCCCGATCAGTCAAAACCTTGGACTTGGGCCCCAGGAGTTCTTGCAAGGGGTCAAGGGTCACGCGCGGACCAGGAAAATTCACGAGATCCGAAGCCAGCTTCCGTTCAAAACTGCGCTGAGTGGCCAACCGAAGTAAATGACTCACCATGCTGGGCGAGTTGAAGCCGAGGTGAACTTCACGACCGTAGTCGTCCTCCCAAGTGAGAGCAGACGTGGCACACCAGCCCACACGGAAAAGGCACAGATGCATTCTCTGGATGGGCCCCCTCGAACTCTTCCAACACACGCCTTGATCGAAAGGCACTCGGCACCACATCTGACAAACTTCCTTAACCGTGTAATAGGAAGTCGAGGGAGAAGTGATGGCCGTCCAGACGATCGAAGCCCAATGGACCGCGGGGGCCACGCTAGCACGATCAACGGGGTCCCCATGCAAGGCAAGTTTGGCCGTGAGGGAACAACCACGGTGAAAAGGGGGTTTGTAGGAGAGGAGGACACGCCTGGCCTGGGACAGTTCCCAGTCACTCAAACCAACGACGGCCGATCCGAAAGTGGCAGCAGGGGTAACGCCAGCGACATAAATCTTCCCGATTCGGCCCTTCTGCCGAGGAAGTCTGCTCCTCATGTTCTGCAACTTCTTATGACGCTTGAACATAGAATCGAACCGAGATCGGCGTTTCCAGAGGGCATTGCGAGCGGACCTCACCTGACCAGGAGCAAAATCAGTGCCAAGAGACACGGTACTGTTCGTAACAAGGCCAGCCTTCTGGCCGAGCAAAGTGCCAAGCTTTTTGGCCAAAGAAAGAGAGCTCCCGAACGTGGTTAATTTATCCGCCTGGAGGCCGACCTCCAAACTGTCGCGGAAGATAACATTCATGTGCGCACAAGCCTGGACCATACGTCTGAGAGCCTCCTGTTCCGTATCCGCCTGCGTCGTCAGGGCATCATCATCGACATAGGAGGAGAGAGGGACAAGGGGGTTGGTCATCGTGTAGTCGTCGAAGGCCTCGAGGCTGTACACACGGACAAACAGGTCGTTAAATCCGTCGCCCGCGGGTAAGCCCGACGTAGCGAAGTAGGGGATCGTGCCATACATGCTGCCGAGCCTAACGATTCGGGGTCCTCGCCAGAAGTTGAAGGTGGTTTTAACAATGACTTCCTGGAACCCGAACTTAAGCGCACGATCCCTGAGCAAAACCAAATCGAAACTCTCATAGTATTTGGTGCCGTCCCAAATCACCCCGAGAGACATTTGGCCCGTCTGAGCCGCCACTTCGCTGGCCGCCGCCTGATGCCACACAGCATCCTCAGGGCTGCGGCCAGGGCCGAAGGCCCAAAAACGTCGGGGAAAACGATCGTTAAAGTCGGCGAGCCAAGGCCTGCGGAGGCGTTCCCAGACACGCACGGGCCCAGCGCATAACAGGATGGGGCGGAGCCCTCCCTTTGGGTTTCTCCAACAAAGGGAACAGTAACGAGAACAGCTGTTTGGGGAACAGCCCCAACGACTCGATAGCCTGGACGAGGGCGCCGAAGGTGTCGAGGGCCGCATCCGAGACCAAAGAGAGCCGACGCGGGTGCAGCCCGTCGAGCCACTGGGAGGTGAGCGCCGAGAAGCTGGCGCTGGCGCTGCGGATATCTCCTGCAGTCGGGCGCGGAAGATGATTCCTATTGGGAACCCACACGTTAGACGGCGCAGTGCTGGCATGCCAATAACTAGCCAAAGCCTCGCTCTCGGCCTCAAGCAGGTCCCGAGGGTTGGCCGAAAAAATGCCAGGGTGCGTTTCGATCGTGGTAGGGGTCCAACGACGTTTCAGTTTGGTAAGGCGGTGCATGGCCCGAGCCCCTCCCCTTAAGGCTTTCTCCTGCCATTCATCCCACGAGTCCTGCCCCCCCTTCTTGACGGCCGTGACAGCATCATCGTAGTCGTCCCCCCAAGACTGGAGGAACTCGTCAAGGTCGGTCAGCCACGTGGCTGAAGAGGCGGACCCGCGGCGCATGAGCTCACGAGACTGTGCAATCGTGCTGCCCAAGCGCGCGCTGAGTCCCTCTCCAGGGCATGGCTGGGCAACAACAAGCTGCATCTGCTGATTCACGTCCTGACACGACTGATCGAGCTTCGTAGGGTCCTGACCAATCCCTTGATCCGCCTCCTGGAAACGACGACAGGCCCCGAGGGTTTCACGAAGCTGCTGGGCCAACCACTCCCAACCAACATAAACCAGGTTCGTAGCGTTACCTTTGGGACGAGAAAAGATGGGGATCCAACGCGCCTTCAACCTAGAACCTTTGTGGCCCTTGCTGGTAACTGGGACACCCGTAAATGACTCGAGCTCGAGCTCGAGGGCGTTGGAGAAGTACACCCACGCTTGGCTCAAAAGTTCCCAAGCCTCGCCGACGGGAGCCGAGATAGCCGCATCGGCCGCACATTCGGCGATGTCGCGAGCCATACTCCAATTCTGCGGGCAAGGGGACGGTCCCACAGGCAGCTCGCAAGGAAGTCGTTGGTGCGACCTGTAAGTTAACTGGTACAACGAAACAGCACGATCACGAAGTTGCAACTGAACTGGCCTGTGGGGCCGCCCCGCCCAGGTCACATCAGCCTTCACACCCTCGACCGCCCTCGAGAAACTATTGGGGGCCAGGAAGAAATCTAAGGTAGTGATGGAGGAGGGGCTGACGCACGCGTGTTCCTTAGGCACGAACAAGACCGCCTCGAGGAGGCGGGGGAGGCCAGCAGACTCGATGAGACTGGGAGCCAGATTCCAGTCTCCGCCCGCCAAAAAGAGGTGCTCGTGCTGCAAAGCCTGTCCGATTTTCTTGAGTAACCTCAGGTTGAGCTCACAAAGCCCCGTACCAGATTTCAAGTAAACCGACATCACAACAAGGGGGGCCAGGACGGGATATCAACGATAGCTTTCAGGATCCGACCGTGCTCGACGATGCCAGAGCCATCCGAGGGCCACCTGAGGCCCAGGTGTTGTCGAACCAAGACGGCCGCCCCCCATTGAGGTTTCCCAGACAATCCTGGAACAGCAGGAGCAGCGAGCATGCGCCAGCCCAGCTTACCTACTGCGTCGCACTTGTCACCTTCATCGTCGAGGGTGAAACCGATCTCCTGTGCCAACAAAATAAGAGCAGAAGAGGTAGTCAACCGTTCTCGCAGCGTGGGCCAAGAGTTTCCGTTGTACGTCTCGAAGAGCTCACTGCCCATCGTGCCCAGAGAGGAGTCCAAAGGAGGAGGAGGGGGGGGCACTGGGAGGCCAAACCTAGATAGAGGCAGGCCGCAGCACAGGGGCATTACTTCACTGCTACTGCTAGGAGCGCCGCTGGCGCTTGGCCAGGATCTCCTGCAACTTGATGCCCCACTCCCGCTTCTCGAAACGCTGGGCGCTGAAGAAGAGCTCCTGCACGTCGGGGTCGTCCTCATCGATTGGCACGGGCTCATCAGCTGCGTCTGCCCAAACACTGTTGACGGGCGATCGAACTGGCGTTGGTGTTGATGCTTCTGGTTGCTGAGCCTGAGGCATGTCAGTATCACCAGCAACATCAAATGGAGAGGGAGCCGCCGTGGTCGTCGCTGCCGATGCCGCTCTGACCTGCTGCTCCGCAAGGAACTGCTTGTACTTCTGAAACACATCTGACTGGAGCATGGCCGAAACCGCATCCTTGTCAGCACCTGGTTGGACTTCTTCGAGATTGAGCGGAACATGCCCCAGGTGACCAGGAAGATTGAGCACCAGCTGGCGGCTGAGCTCCTTAATCTCCTTATCACATACAGTTTGTTGTGCTCGGATTGGATCAAGCTTCTCTTGAGCCTGCTGCAAGATCTGAAGCTGTGTAGTCTCATCCTGTCCGAGCTGCTTGCGCTTCGCAACCATACGTGCCAGCTTGTGGCCCGTGTTGGTGTGCTGGGTGAGCGCTGGCTTGCATTCCGAAAAGGGCCTTTCTGGCCTCCTGAAGCTGCGTCTCCAAAGAGGTTTTAGCCGAGCCGCCGCCGTCGCTGAGCTTGCCCACAGCCTTGATGGCGGTCTCGAGGCCCCTGATACTGTCACGAATATGTTTCTCTTTGGCATCCTCCTTGGATTCATCACCAGCGCCTCCAGCTGGGGCTGCTGTGGATGTCGTAGAGGACGCCAGCTTGTCGTACTTCTTCTGAAGAGCGTCAAGCTGTCTCTGTAACTTATCGTTGTTGCCGCCTCCGCCAGCAGGGTTACGACGCCCAGCAGGAGGAGCACGTCCATTACCGTTGCCATCATTCTTCTTCGCATACTGCTTCGCGGCTGCCACGACCTTCTGGGGGGCCGTCTTGCCGCACCTGCACTGGATCCGCGATGCCCAGTTGGTGTTGAGGCCACAGCCCCCGCAGGCCCAGAAAGGTTGCTTCGGGCCTGGGAGCACTGGCCCCTCATTGCTCATCTGCCCCCCGAGGGGCGCGTAGACTGCTCCAGCAGGAGCTCACAGTGAAGAAAGAAAGGCTCGCAGCAGCACGTGGCCGCTCTGAAGAGGCATGCTGCTGCAAGCTCAGGAAGGACACCTGAGCCAGAACGGCTAGGAGGAGGAGGAGGAGGAGGAGGAGGAGGCTAGAAGAGGAGGAAGAACAGGAGGAGGAGGCTAGAGAGGGAGGCAAGAGAAGGAGGAAAAAGAGGAGGAGGAGCAGGAGGAGGAGGAGGAAGAGGCGGAGCAGGAAGAGGTAGGGACAGGAGGATCTCGGCTCTACGCCGTCACTGCAGCCTGTGCTGCCCCGAGCTCCTGCTGCAGCTGCCCGCCAGCCTCCCCCGGCGCTGGCCGGGCACCGGCGGGGGCGGCCTCGCCTCCTGCGGTGAAGGAGGGGAGGGGGAACCCGACGATGCCCCTGTTTCCCCCCCCCCTCGGTGGAAACCCGTGGGGGCCTCCCATGCCATCTTGCCGCCTCTTGCGAGTCGACGCTGATAAACGCTCATAAACCGACGCTGATCGACGCTAAATCGACGCTGAGCGACTCTAAATCGGCGCTTTCTCATCGACTACCAGACGTTGGCGCACGCCAGTGCGCTCTGAAGGCGGAGTTACGAGGACAGACCAGGGTCCCCCCCCCCCGCGGATGCCTCTCGCTGAGGTCGGCTCCGCCGCCCTCGGAACTCCCCATCAGGCCCGAGACAAAAGGCTTCCGGACCCTAGGAAATCGCGGCCGTGGGAAACCACGGCCAGAACCCTGGGGCCCCACATCCTTCTGCGGCATCTTCTCTCGGGCCCGAAATGAGAAAAGACTGGGGGCTGCCCAGCCATTGAAGAGAGAGAGAGAGAGGTTGGCCAAGCCTGCCTCTATGCTGCAGTGGTAGACGAGCGCGTTCCACTACTTTCAAAGTAACTGCTCGCAAATGGCCTGGATCCGCCACAGGGGATCTACAATAAGTCTGATCGAAGCAAACTTCTGTTAGTCGGACGTTTACGAGTAGGCACCTTGGGAGTAGTGGAACGCGCTCGGTAAATGGGGCTCAAAGGGTAGCGCCAGGCCAATGCCGGGAACGCTGGGCGAGATTGCCACGGTAGAGCTCCACGTCGGTCCCGGTCGATCCGCGCGGGCCCCGGGGCCATACAAGAAGGCGCGTGGGAAAATTGTCGGGGCGCCCTCACAGGCAGGTCACCCGGCGCACCGATGCCATGCACAGATACACCCAAAGCGCAGAATGTCAGGTCGGGCATGTCCCCCTACGGGCGGATTTTGGAGAAAGATTAACAAAGTTGAGCAATGTTCAACAGTAGTCAAAACTAGTAGACAAATTGGCCCCAGACTGAATTTTCTACTGTTCCTGAATTTTCTTGTAGAGGGACATGCTCGACTTAAGCATAATGAGTTGGCGCGGTAAGGATGCAGGGCCTTGGAAGGCCATGCTGACGTTTTCAGAACGGGACTGGCCAGCGAAGGTCTCCAAGGATGAGCCGAAGGGGCAAGAATACACGGGAGACGTTGGAGCATTGCTCATCCATGCTATGCGCTTCGACTGCCTTTCAATACGAGGCCCCCTCAAGTCCCGACACCTTCCCCAAGGCATTGGTTTCATCTAAAGCCGCCGGGGCCCGGCGAGGGCCTCCAGAGGTCGAAATCAACAACAACAACAACAATCATTGTAAGACTATTCGCTCTTATCTGCTTGAGTGTCCGTAAACGCGTACTGTTCAAACCCTCGATACCCGCCCTCTACGTCTTCGATCGTACCCTTCTTGGGGGGTACGTCTTTCTTCCCTGCAGGCCAGGCCCCGGCAAGCGGCGGGGCGGCCGCGGACCGTCGGCCTGGCCAGCGGCAGCGCAGATCGGCGGCAACCCGACCCCAAGAGGGACGGACAGGGGACCGACCACGACGACGACGACGACGACGACGACGACGGCGACGACGACGACGAGCGAAAGCGAGAGCGAGAGAGCGAACGACAGCAGAGCCATGAAGGGGAACGAAGTAGGCCACGAAGCGAACGAGCGGGGGCCACGAAGGGCAGATAATGCGGGGCCACGAAGGGCAGCGAGGGGGCCACGAAGGGCTGCAACGGGGCCACGAAGGGCAGCGAGGGGGCCACGAAGGGCTTCAACGGGGCCACGACAGGCATGCACATGGGGCCACGACAGGCGCGAACGAGCGGGGGCCACGAAGGGCATGCGTATATTGGGCCGCGGAGAGCAAGGACGGGGCCACTGAGGGCAGCAACGAGGCCACGAAGGGCGACAGCGGGGCCACGACGGGCATGCATATGGGGCCACGAGGGGCGCGAACGAGCGGGGGCCACGAAGGGCATACATTTCTGGGGCCACGAATGGCAGAGAGGGGGCCACGAAAGGCTGCAACGGGGCCACGAAGGGCAGCGAGGGGGCCACGAAGGACTGCAACGGGGCCACGAAGGGCAGCGAGGGGGCCACGAAGGACTGCAACGGGGCCACGAAGGGCAGCGAGGGGGCTACAAAGGGCTGCAAGAGGGCCACGAAGGGCAGCGAGGGGGCCACGAAGGGCTGCAACGGGGCCACGAAGGGCAGCGAGGGGGCCACGAAGGGCTGCAACAGGGCCACGAAGGGCAGCGAGGGGGCTACGAAGGGCTGCAACAGGGCCAAGAAAGAAAGCGAAGGGGGCCACGAAGGGCTGCAACGGGACCACGAAGGGCAGCAAGGGGGCCACGAAGGGCTGCAACAGGCCACGAAGGGCAGCGAGGGGGCCACGAAGGGCTGCAACGGGTCCACGAAGGGCAGCGAGGTGGTCACGAAGGGCTGCAAAGGGGCCACGAAGGGCAGCGAGATCCCGATTCTTAAATAATCTGCGAGGGAGTCCTGAGCGTAAGCGCGACTCCTGGGTGCCTGAGTGTTGGGAGCGCGGCGCTTGACTAAATTGCTGGAAATTCCAACGCAAGGGCGCCATTCTTGAGTAAAGTACAAGCAAGTCTCCAGCGAGAGCGCGACTCCAGAGCGCCGAGAAAGCGATTCCTGTATAAATTGCGAGGAAGGCCCAAGCGAGAGCGCGATTCCGGGATAAAATGGAGGAGGTCTCGGGCGGGAGCGGGGGTCCTGGCTAAATTGTGAGGAAGTCTCAGGCGGTGGCCGTTGTTGTTGTTGTAACCTAGGGGCCAACAACGCAGTTTGAGGAGGAAGACTTTCCCTGATAAAGACAGGTGCGAGCGCCGGGAGGGGCACTTCAATTGAAAACACAATGGGTATTGGATGGGATCAGCAATACTTATTTGTGCAGCAATGGAAGTTCAACCACAACAACAACGATCAATCTAACACTGCTCGCTCTTACTGGTACGCGTGTCTTGCATTCGGTATACCCCAACCCTCGTTACCCACTCACTCCGTCTTCGATCGCACCCTCTGTCGGGGGGAATATATCCCTTGTCGCACTGACTGAAGTGCGAGGAACTCTCGAGCGAGAGCGCCGCTCCTGAATTCGGGGGCCACTCTGAGCTCTCGGAATACATATTGAGAAATATAGAACGGGAACCCATTTCCCTAACTTGCAAGAAAGTCTCGAGCGAGAGCGCCACTCTTGAGTTTGGGGGCCTCTCGGGCCAGGGCCTCTGTGAATACATCTTGAGGAAGTATCGAACGAGAGCCCGTGTCGTCGTAGTTGGGCCTCCACCAACTTGACAGAATCACGAGTAAACCTCGAGCGAGAGCGCCGTTCCTGAGTTCGGGGGCCTTCCTGGTCAGGGGCTCTCGGAGTAAACCGTGAGGAAGTATCCAGCAGGAGCCCTTGTCGTCGTGGCTCGGCCTCCGCCAGCTTGACTGAATTGCGGGGAATTCTCAAGCGAGGGCGCCGTTCCTGAGTTCGGGGGCCTCTCTGGCCAGGGTGTCTCGGAGTAAATAATGGGGAAGTATCGGGGGGTCGTTGTAGCTGGGCCTCCAACGGCACACATTTACAATCAGGCCCTCGCCCTAGCGGGAGCCTCGTGTTCATAGGAATTGCAGCCGGCGTCGAGGCGAGAGCGCGCGAAACCGTTTCCAGAGATCAACAATAATGGTTGTTCCACAAAAAACGGATAAGCAACAACAGCAACAACCAACAATAATAACAACAATAAATTTAAGACTGTTCGCTTTCATCTGCTCGCGTGTCATTCAACACGTATATGCCTAACCCTCGATACCCCCCTCTTCGTCTTCGATCGTACTCGCTTGGGGGTACATCCTTCTTACCTGCAACGTGTGTTCCGTGCAGCCCCTAAGGCATGGGAGACGAGGAAGGATGGAAGGAGGGGGAAGGGCGAGGGATGCGGATGGAGCGAGAGAGAGAGAGAGAGAGAGTAGCCCAGACGGGCAGATCGGGCGGGTCGTCCCCAACGGGCGGGTCGGGAAGGCGGGCCCAGGCGGCCAGGTCGAGCCGACGGGTTGCTGAAGCGTGCGTCCTGCATGAATCACGAGGAAGTCTCAAGCGATAGAGCGATTCCCAATTAAATAATTAGGAAATCCAGAGCGAGAGCGTGATTCCTGAATGTCGAGGGCGCAGCGTCTAAATAAATTGCGAAAAAGTCCCACGCGAGAACGCGATTCCTGTATAAATTGTGAGGGAGTCCCGCGCGAAGGCGCGATTGTGGAATACATTGTGAGGAGGTCTCAGGCGGGAGCAGTTGTTGTTGTAAACGGGTGGCCAGGGGCGCAGTTTGGTGACCCCTCGCTTTCCCTTGTAAGAAGCAGGGTGCGAGCCCCACAAGGGGTCCTTTAATTGGAAGCTGCAATGGTTCCTGGAAGGGGGATCAACCATACTTACTAGTTAAGCATGATAACTCAACAACAACAACATCGTTAATACATTGAAGACGGTTCGTCATTATCTGCTCGCGTGTCATTCAACACGTATATCCCAAACCCTCGATACCCATCCTCTTCGTCTTCGATCGTGCCCCCCTAGGGGGCATATCCTTCCTACCTGCAGCGTGTATTCCGTGCAGCCCCTAACCTAAGGCAAGGGAGGGGAGAACGGATGGAAGGAAGGGACAAGGAGCATGCGGGTTGCTGAAGCGTGCGTCCTGCATGAATCGCAAGGCAATCTCGAGCAATAGCGCACTCCCCCAAAAAATGCGCAGAAATCCATAGCGCAAGCGCGATTCCTGAGTGCCGAGAGCGCGGCGTCTGAATACATTGCGAAACACTCCCACACAAGACCGCGATGTCTGCATACATTGTGAAGACGCCCTGCGCGAGAGCGCAACTAAACAACAAACTGTGAGGAAATATCTGGCGGGAACTGTTGTTGTTGTATCCCGGGGCAAAAGGCCCAATTTGGAGACTCCTCACGCTCCCTTGTGACTAAAAAACCGGGTGCGATCCCTGGGAGAAGCACTTTAATTGAAAAAA